TTTGTCAACCACTCTAACACTGAAAAAGTTCTTTCTAACTTCCCTATGGCTCATTTGGGTACTCAGTTTCCACCTGTGTCCCCTTGTTCGCATACCTCCCGTGTTAAACAATTTATCTTTATCTAACCTGTCAATTCCTCTGAAAATTTTATAGATAGTGATCATGTCTCCTCTTACTCTTGTCACCTAGTGCCGTGAGGTACATTTCTCGCAGCCTTTCTTTGTAACTCATGCCTCTTAGTTCTGGGCCTAGTCTAGTAGCATACCTCTGATCTTTTTCAAGCTTTGCCTTGTGTTTGACAAGGTACGGGCTCCATGCTGGGGCCGCATACTCCAGGATTGGTCTTACATTTGTGGTATACAAGGTTCTGAATGATTCCTTACACAGGTTCCAGAAGGCAGGTCTGATGTTAGCCAGCCTCGCATACGCCGCAGATGTTATTCTTTTGATGTGGGCTTCAGGAGACAGGTTTGGTGTGATATCAACTCCTAGACCTTTCTCTCTGTCCGTTTCATGAAGGACCTCATCTCTCATTCTGTATCCAGTGCCTGATCTCCTGTTTCCACTGCCTAGGTACTCACCTAATTGTACTCGCCTAATTGTGCTTGCGGGGGTTGAGCTCTGGCTCTTTGGTCCCGCCTCTTAACTGTCAATCAACAGGTATACAGGTCCCTGAGCCTATTGGGCTCTATCATATCTACACTTGAAACTGTGTATGGAGTCTGCCTCCCCACATCACTTCCAAATGCATTCCTTTTGTCATTTAAAAGATTATCAGTCATGAAGCAGTCAATGACATCATCAAGAGAAAATTGGCTACAGCTGAGTGTCCAGTACAAAGAGAACCTCAGTTGTGCAGACCTGACAACAGCCAAAAACGCCCAGATGAAGTCATCCTGCAGCCATGGAGGGAAGGTAGACAGGTCGTATGGGATTACACGTGTGCGTTTACATTGGTTGATACCTTTCTACGTTACAGCTCAGTGGAGGGAGGTGGGGCAGCCACCTTCAGGGAGACCCAGAAAACCTACAAGTACAGGGACCTAGAACGTTGTTACAGGTTCGTGCCGACAGGCTCTGAGAGTTTGGCCGCCTGGGGTAAATCTGCACCTAAGTTCCTAAAAGAGGTGGATGAGGAACTCACTAGGTAAACAAGAGACCCAAGAGTGACCAGTTTCCTGCTCCAGCGCCTTAGTGTGGCATCCAGAGAGGAAATGTTTGCTATATCTTGGGCACGCAGCCCATCTTCCAAGCGCTGGATGAGGACTTCAAACAGTAATATTTATGTGTGTGTGTTTTTTCTGTTAACTGTAACTCAATGTAATAAAATATAAAATAATGGAGATTTTACACACACACACACACACACACACACACACACACACACACACACACACACACACACACATATATATATATATATATATATATATATATATATATATATATATATATATATATATATATATATATATATATAGAGTTTAATATATAATCATTAGCATATTATTCAGCAAGTGAAGCTTCATAATGAATCGGCACAGCGGGTTCAGAAAATATTATTTTCTGATACAGTGTACCCGCAGACATGGATTATTTTTAAGTAATCTCGTTATTCGTCCAAATGATTATTATGATTTTTTTGTAGCAATTAACCGAACCAATAAATAGAGTCAACTACCACTGATGAAGCAGTGAGGGACGATGGGTATACGTGTGAGGGCTGGGGAAAGGGAGAACCACTGAGTTAATAACACTGAGGTAATACACTGGGTTATTAACACTGGGTTAATAACACTGGGTTAATAACACTGAGGTAATACACTGGGTTATTAACACTGGGTTAATAACACTGAGGTAATAACACTGGGGTAATAACACTGGGGTAATAACACTGAGGTAATACGCTGGGTTATTAACACTGGGTTAATAACACTGAGGTAATAACACTGAGGTAATAGCACTGAGTTATTAACACTGAGGTAATACACTGGGTTATTAACACTGGGTTAATAACACTGAGGTAATAACACTGAGGTAATAGCACTGAGTTAATAACACTGAGGTAATACACTGAGGTAATAACACTGGGGTAATAACACTGAGATAATAACACTGAGGTAATAACACTGAGGTAAAAACACTGAGGTAATACACTGGGTTATTAACACTGGGTTAATAACACTGAGGTAATAACACTGAGGTAATAACACTGAGGTAATAACACTGAGGTAATAGCACTGAGTTAATAACACTGAGGTAATACACTGAGTTAATAACACTGGGGTAATAACACTGGGGTAATAACACTGGGGTAATAACACTGGGTTAATAACACTGATGTAATAACACTGATGTAATAACACTGAGGTAATAACACTGAGGTAATAACACTGGGGTAATAACACTGGGGTAATAACACTGGGGTAATAACACTGAGGTAATAACACTGAGGTAATAACACTGAGGTAATAACACTTGAGGCAATATGCTGGTCATCGCTGAAGGTGTTATCTTATTTTTTCGAGATACAGATTTGGTTGTCATCATCACACACGTATTCTGGGCTTAACACATGTCTAACACCGTTGGCATCCTTCATAACTATCTCCTCCGTCACAAGAGGTCAGAGAGATTGAGCAAAGGCAGCCCGCATCCTATTCACGACTCACGCGGTAACTGTCTACAGAACGACCCTTTGAAATGAGCAAAACCAATGTTTCACTTGGGAAGGAAGGCAGAGATGGCAGGGGGCAACACTGATCAACACTTACCTTTTGAGTGTGACGGTAAGAGCTGCTACTGCAGGTGTGCAGGAGCTGCAACTGCAGGTGTGCAGGGCCTGCTTCTGTAGGTGTGCAGGAGCTGCTACTACAGGTATGCACAGGCACCTGAAGACGGTCACTACTCTACGGTTGTTGAGTTCCAGGTTTGATTAACTATCCGTGAAAGTTCTGTAAAGCTCACTACGTTAAATTCACCATTACAAGGAGGTTAGACTCTCATCCGTAGCGTAATAGCACTCGTAAGTTTTGTGGAGAATATTGTAAGAGAAGGTGTGCGAGGGAGGAGGATGGGAGCCGCCTGTCTGCCTTACCTCCCACACACCCACATATATCCACTACACTTGTTTCTCTCCGTGTCGTAAATTACAGCCAAGTTTAATACTTTATACTATAATATCCAATCATATTAGAGTGTACCAATGTTTTAATTACTATTGGAATTATGTATATCATGCAAATGATTTATCATGAGTTTCTATTTCCAGTGATAATTCTTTGAACGTTGTCATATGGAGCTGAAACAGTTCCCACCAACTGATACACTCCCTTTATTACCGCCCATCATGCAAGCAGTTCAGCACTCACTGCAAAACTCACACCAGAACGGTTTCAGTTCTGCAATATTAATCCCTATTGCGTTCACAAACATATCACTGACGATTTAATTCATAGGTAACGATGTCACCGCCAACAGCAGCAGCACCAGGAGGCGAGAGAGTAAAGGGATTTACGATTCACTGCACCACAGGATGACGGTAGAGGAAGAGGGTGGAGCACGACGAAGCGTGTGTCCTCACGACAAGAGCCAGGGAGCAACTGAGCGCTGCCGCTCTAGCAAGGGAGGCCGGGGCACCCAGCCTACGCTGACGCGACCTGCCTAGTTATGGCCAGGGCTGAGAGAGAAAGGATTAAAGAACGACTTGAACTATTCACAGGACGAGAGTATTCATCAGAGGAGCATACGAACTCTCAAGAGGACCAGTTGAACTCTCCACAGGACGAAAAGAACTCCTCAATCTTAACACGACCTATCCAGAAGACGAGATTAATTATTCTGAGATAAGAACGAAGGAAAATTGTATTCCATGAATTTTCCTGTTTTGAAATAAGTAATTTCAGCTTCCTGACAGCTGAAATTCTGTCTTCCGTCAGCTGCTGACGAGACTGCAGTCTGTCTCGTCAGCAGCTACACTGAAGTCAGTCTCATCAGTAGCTAGATCGAAGTCAGTCTAGTCAGTAATGAAATAGAATGAAATCAGTCTAGTATTTAGCTAGACTGACTTCAGTCTAGTCAGTTGCTAGCATGAAGTATTCTAGCTACTGATCAAGACCTGACGGTCGAAAAGGCGTTTTAGCATTCTTTTATTTGTCAATGTGGTTTTTCCGAACATTTAATTAAATAACCATTGGTACCTAATGTGCGAGGAAGGTGAGCCGAGTGTGCCCTGGGGTAGTCTCTCTCTTCCTCCACTCCTCTTCTTTCCCCTCTCTCTCCCTATTCCCTTCCCCCTTCCTTCTTTTTCCTCTACGTTGACTTTTCTGCCTCCTTCTCTGTCTCTCTTCTTTTTCCTCTACGTTGACTTTTCTGCCTCCTTCTCTGTCTCTCCTCCCCCTGTTCTCTCTCTTCTCCCCATTCCTCCTACTCTCTTGCCTCCCTTACCCACTAACCTTTAGCAGACAGCGTCAACCCCAACACATGAGACAAGTGTAAACGTCCACTATGACCTTGTTATTGTTATGAAAGTTTAGTGTTGTCATATAGACCTTTATCCCTTCTCATTCTTCTCCTCCCGGTAGTTTGAAATTTGTTTTCATCAAAATTTAGTTCATTTAATAATGAATTATTGGCACTAGCAAACAATGTTTTTTTTCGCTAGTGTCTTCCGGTGTTTGCTTTTCAAGTTCGGTCCTATAAGAAACAAGATCATGAGCACTATAATCATTAATAATTTCGGTACTATGAACAGTAATAAATTTGGTTGTATATTCTCAAATTATTTTGGTCTTATAATCACCAATCCTTTTTATTAACTGGTATTTACTGTCTTGCATATATTATTTCTCGTTAATAAGCTACTACTTGTCTGGGCATTGTTGGTGGAACATAAACTTGCCTGATGAAGCGCTCATTAACATTAAGCACATTACTCTTTGAACTATGCGACTTGACTTGAAATATCTTCGTCCTCTGTTTTGTGGTTTCCACTTCACAGTTCTGACTCTCTCAGACAGGGAGATAACCAACTCTCAGCTCTCGGATAGGGAGATAACCAACTCTCAGCTCTCGGATAGGGAGATAACCAACTCTCAGCTCTCGGATAGGGAGATAACCAACTCTCAGCTCTCAGATAGGGAGATAACCAACTCTCAGCTCTCGTTCTCAGATTCTCTTCATTTCACAGACTGGCAGTGTCCCTCTTTATTCTCAAATTCTTGCTCTGGTTACTGGAGTTCGCTTTAATCAGACAGAAGCCTTGTATTATGCATAGCCAAGTTCATCATCATTTGGCAGTCTGCGGGGAGGACCCTCAGACTCTTAACAGTCTCTGCTCGTGAAGTCTTGGGCCCGGCTCTGGCCAGAGAATAATTGGAGTGCAGAAATAGGACACACTGTCTTGCTTGCGAAGAGCTACACACACACACACACACACACACACACACACACACACACACACACACACACACACACACACACACACACACACAGGCGGTCTGCTCGCTGAGTGGACAACGAACGGGACTCGTAGTCCTGTGGCCCGGGTTCGATTCGCGGATTAGGCAGAGACAAATGGGCAGAGTTTCTTTCTCTGGGCTCAGCCAGGCTCGGTGGTGTCAGTACAGCCAGGCTCGGTGGTGTCAGTGGTGTCTGGCTTGGTGGGGTCAGTGGAGGCAGCCCCGGCCGTGTCAGTGGGTGTAGAAGCGGAGGTTCGAGTTGGGGGTTGACGTCTTGGTGAATGATGACGTAGAAAGAGCCTGTGAGGGCAAACTCTTACAACATCATCAATACGCGAGTTTAAAATAATATGTTGACGTTGATATGTTGGTTTTATTGATATGTTTGCTTCCTTGGACAAATCTCCTCCATGAAGACCTTAAATTACTCTTTATAAACCCAGAACGAGTGTTCCTACGGTCATGGAAATTTAATGACCTTTAATAAGATTGATAAAACGACAGAATCAACACAGTGTTCGCAGTGCCGTGAAATTACCCATGACCGTGACCTCGGTTCCTCTAGCTTCCATTAGCTCTACAATTTGGCCAAATTAAATTAATAACCGTAAAAACTGAAGGTTCCAAACGTGTTGTGGAAGGTATCATTAGAGAGTGACAGACCCTGGACCTACGTTAGACCTCTTTCCGGCTTTCCTCAAAGGAACATGTTTCCCTCGGCATGTACCCCTCGCCAACATGTACCTGCATTTTCGAGAATGCAGAAAAGTGGATGGGTCATTTTTCCCATATATACTGATTCCTTGTGCATAGAATTTGCAAATATTCTCAGTTTTTATTTTCTCCAGGTTATTTATACCTGTGTTTGTCTTGGCTGCCTCTTTATTAGAGCCATCTCACTTTTTGATCCCAATTTCTTCGTTTATGAACTCTTTCCCACTGTTGCTCTCATTGTTTATATTACCTGGCTCTGCAATAATGCTGCTGTTATGTACCACAATACACTCTCCCTCTAACCCTTAGCAGACAGTGTCAACCCCAACACACGAGACAAGTGTAAACGTCCACTATGACTTTGTGGACGCACTACTTCTGTGGTTCTCTAAGCTACCAGTTCCTAAGTTTTGGTCGTTGTCCAGTGTTGTTTTTTCATAATCCGCATATATCGCTGGTCGCTTTTCTGTGAATGTTAATCTGTGTAACATTCTGACACAGATTAGAACCCAACATTCTGAACCCAACTGAGAATGACATCCTCAGGTATGTCATTCATCAGTTGGATTATGTTTTCCCATATTAACCTGTCATTGTTGCAAATCCAGTATATTCCTTGTCTGTTTGTGAATGGTGTAGATAATTCTGCACAGCTCGGGTTAAATCTTGTGTTACGGATGCAACACTTGACGCCAACAATACGTCTTCCAAATGCTTAAGAACACTTGACACACACCTATATTGTCTGATGTATTATGTTGTATTTGTGCTTCACCTTATGTATCCCATGTTGACTTTAATATTTAACTATTCATAATTTAGTATAAATGCTCACCTGCTCAATGGTTTATATTACAAAGCTTAATCTTTTTAGAGGGAAATTGATATAACTCAATAATATAAATAAACTGCTATAGATTTGAGAGAACAGATGAGGTTCTGAATGGTAGGTTTACTTTACCTGTTGAGCTGCTCAGTGTAAGTCCATTTTAAAGTGTGTACATTGTTTGAATTTTTTTAATATTTTTTAGAAATGTCTTTAACCCGATGATATCTCTATTTTATGATTAATAATCTTATTCCAAATGAAATAACTTCACCCGCCTTTGCCATATTATTTAAAACTGAAATTTGCTCACACATTTTATATCAACTTATATAATTATGCTAATTAGACCACCGCTAGCTCTAAATTATCCAGCAAACTGTGTTAATTATGTGATATCGCTATCGCATAGTGAAGGACAAAGTCTGTCTGTCTATCAGTCTGCCCATTATTTATCTATCTCCGTCTCGGTCTTTGATAACATTTTGTGGTATATAAATTGCAGCACATTGGACACGTGACCCTGTGGTCTCGGGTTCGATCCCGGGCGCCGGTGAGAACGCTGGGCAGGGTTTTTTTTTCTCCCCCTTCATCACCACCCATGCAGTAGTCCCCCTTCATCACCACCCGTGCAGTAGTCCCCCCTTCATCACCACCCATGCAGTAGTCCCCCTTCATCACCACCCATGCAGTAGTCCCCCTTCATCACCACCCGTGCAGTAGTCCCCCCTTCATCACCACCCGTGCAGTAGTCCCCCTTCATCACCACCCGTGCAGTAGTCCCCCTTCATCACCACCCGTGCAGTAGTCCCCCCTTCATCACCACCCGTGCAGTAGTCCCCCCTTCATCACCACCCGTGCAGTAGTCCCCCCTTCATCACCACCCGTGCAGTAGTCCCCCTTCATCACCACCCATGCAGTAGTCCCCCTTCATCACCACCCATGCAGTAGTCCCCCTTCATCACCACCCGTGCAGTAGTCCCCCTTCATCACCACCCGTGCAGTAGTCCCCCCTTCATCACCACCCGTACAGTAGTCCCCCTTCATCACCACCCATGCAGTAGTCCCCCTTCATCACCACCCATGCAGTAGTCCCCCTTCATCACCACCCATGCAGTAGTCCCCCTTCATCACCACCCGTGCAGTAGTCCCCCCTTCATCACCACCCGTGCAGTAGTCCCCCTTCATCACCACCCGTGCAGTAGTCCCCCTTCATCACCACCCGTGCAGTAGTCCCCCTTCATCACCACCCGTGCAGTAGTCCCCCTTCATCACCACCCGTGCAGTAGTCCCCCTTCATCACCACCCGTGCAGTAGTCCCCCCTTCATCACCACCCGTGCAGTAGTCCTCCCTTCATCACCACCCGTGCAGTAGTCCTCCCTTCATCACCACCCGTGCAGTAGTCCCCCCTTCATCACCACCCGTGCAGTAGTCCCCCTTCATCACCACCCGTGCAGTAGTCCCCCTTCATCACCACCCGTGCAGTAGTCCCCCTTCATCACCACCCGTGCAGTAGTCCCCCTTCATCACCACCCGTGCAGTAGTCCCCCTTCATCACCACCCGTGCAGTAGTCCCCCCTTCATCACCACCCGTGCAGTAGTCCCCCTTCATCACCACCCGTGCAGTAGTCCCCCTTCATCACCACCCGTGCAGTAGTCCCCCTTCATCACCACCCGTGCAGTAGTCCCCCCTTCATCACCACCCCTGCAGTAGTCCCCCTTCATCACCACCCGTGCAGTAGTCCCCCTTCATCACCACCCGTGCAGTAGTCCCCCCTTCATCACCACCCATGCAGTAGTCCCCCTTCATCACCACCCATGCAGTAGTCCCCCTTCATCACCACCCGTGCAGTAGTCCCCCTTCATCACCACCCGTGCAGTAGTCCCCCCTTCATCACCACCCGTGCAGTAGTCCCCCCTTCATCACCACCCATGCAGTAGTCCCCCTTCATCACCACCCATGCAGTAGTCCCCCTTCATCACCACCCATGCTGTAGTCCCCCCTTCATCACCACCCGTGCAGTAGTCCCCCCTTCATCACCACCCATGCAGTAGTCCCCCTTCATCACCACCCATGCAGTAGTCCCCCTTCATCACCACCCATGCAGTAGTCCCCCTTCATCACCACCCGTGCAGTAGTCCCCCCTTCATCACCACCCGTGCAGTAGTCCCCCTTCATCACCACCCGTGCAGTAGTCCCCCTTCATCACCACCCGTGCAGTAGTCCCCCTTCATCACCACCCGTGCAGTAGTCCTCCCTTCATCACCACCCGTGCAGTAGTCCTCCCTTCATCACCACCTGTGCAGTAGTCCTCCCTTGCATTTACCGAAAATTAAATAAAAATAATCGCTATATTGTTGTTCCCTGAAGGTCAGGATGAATCGATGAAGCGGGACAGTGATCACCTGGTGTGTGTGTGTTTGTGCTCCTGTGTTCCTCTTCGAGGCGCTGGTGTGCTGGGGCAACCACCTCACTTGTTCCTTCTCGTTGGTGTTGTCTTAGTGTTGACTGACGTGACAATATTACGTGATGCCACAGTTATCGCAGATAAACAAAGCGCATAACTTAGGTCAAACTGAAGTATTTCTCGTATTCACTTCTGTGTTGTCAAACTTATGTATTGCTGAAAACATTATGATCTGATATGAGATAAATCACAGAATTCTCAAGTACCGAAAATCCCATTATTTGAAAATTATGATGTTTAGCTCTGTCATTTATATATAAATACTCGTGTTCTTGAAGATATCCACTTAATCGTTCCAAAGTTTGCCGGGTAACAGACCTTATGTAACTTTTTGTCAAGATGAGGATCAGAGTACAGACAGATCTCTGTAACTCTTCATATAGTTTAGCGTAGCTCCACAAATGTCGATGTACCTGGCTGTTAATTAAATAATTTATGTATATATATATATCTGTTGTCTTTCATTCGTCCATCGATGAGCGTTTGTGTTAATTAGTATTCTTCTCCCTCTGTTTTTGTGATAATGTCTGCAGTTTCGTGTTTGTTTAAGTATCAGTGTTTGTTTACGTATCTGGGTTTACATGTCTGTTTGTGACTGTGATGGGTGCCAGACTGCGTGTGGGTAGTGCGTCTCACGATTGTGTCTGTGCATGCACGTCAGGGTCTCTGTCTCGTGGCATTATGGGCAATAAATTCCCTTCCAAGATATACACCGTCCCATCCATCACACTCAAGACCCGCACTTTGACTTTGGTTTTGTATCTTCCGTCCGCATTCCCACACTTTCTCCACTTTTCGCTCCCTTTACATTTCCCACTTTATAACAGTATCTCTATTCGTTTATTGCAGCCTTTATTCTTTCCATCAATCTTTACCTCCTTGAATTTTTCCTTACTTCCCTCTCTGCTTCTATCAGGCTTGTACTTTAGCCTCTTCCGTGTCTGTTCTTTTGCGGGAGCCTTTTGGCTTCCGTCCTGTCTTCAGCAAGTGAAACGAAGATTCAATGGGATTCAGGCCGGGAGATATATTTGGCCAGTGAAGAACATTTCACTTTTCTGTCCTGAAAACTCTTTAGTTGCTTTAGCTGTACGTTTGAGATCAGTGTCCTGCTGCAAGGTGAAGTGCTGTCCTCTGGGGTCTGAAGTATTTGGTCACAGAGGAAAGAGTACCTGAAGAAATAATCAACACAAACGTAACCCCACCAAACACTGAGCATCTTTCTTATGACCAACATAAATAAGAAATATAGAGAAGAATCGTGCTAGAATCTTTGATCTATATAAATAAAGGTCGACCCGGTCACCAAAAGGTTGATCTCCACAGGAGCCGGCCTCAACCAGCCTATAACAGTTCTTGTTCTGTATTTATATATTCCAAAGTGCCGTAGCATAAAAAAATTCAAAGGACTCGACCAACTGCATTTCACCGATTTCGTGGAGATCGCCGTGGGAACCGACCTCCTTTAAGTGGAAGCAATGAGGCCGACCCCAAGCCACCTATGATAGGCCCTTACATTTTATCATTCTCCCTAAGCGTTAGGTTGGGCTAGCCTCAAACGTCTGGCCTTCAACATTGGAGAGACAAATACACATACACACATGTGCAGTAAGACTTGTTCCTGTGCTATGAAGAAAGTCTGAGAAAGCTGGTTCTTGCTCTGCTCGAGGAAAGAATTAATTGGGCAGACATGATAACGACATTCTGATACTAAGAGGAGATTGACAAAGTAGATATAAAAGCAAAGTTTAAATTAAAGAACAGTAAAGTGGACATAATTAGAAACTGCAAACACAGAGATATCAAAAAGAAATGTTTTAGTTTTAAAGTCGTGAATAGGTACAATAGACTTGATGAGGAGGTTGTCGAGGGAAATTTGATACACAGTTTTTAATGTATATATGATAAGAAAAATGAGTGAAAAAGTCACTACAACAAATGAACAAATCCATAAGAGCCGTGATTGACATAGCTCGAGTGCATGGGAGAGTTGTGTAAAACCCTGGTTTGTGTCTCGGAGAGACTGCACGATCCAGTAAGTTCAGTAGAATTTCGGTTTCAACTCTTGACCATGTCGTAGCTCAGTCGATTAAGGCAGCGTCTGGGGTGCTCTCGGACGCAGGTTCGAATCCTCGTCACGGCCCTTGTGGCTTTGTTTACATTATATATATATATATATATATATATATATATATATATATATATATATATATATATATATATATATATATATATATATATATATATATATATATATATATATATATATATATATATATATATATATATATATATATATATATATATATATATATATATATATATATATATATATAATATGAGTGCAGGGAGAGAGTGCAAGAAGGTTTCTTAAAGATCTTGGTTCCTAGCTCATTGACACCACAAGAGACCCTAGAGCGGCAAGTTTTCTCTTTCAGCGCCTCAGTGTCGCGATCCAGAGGGGGAATGCTCGCTGCATCCTCGGTTCGAGGAAATCTACAGCCTCTAGAAAGCGAACTTTTTTTGTGTGTCTTCTTAATGTTAATTTTTTGTATAAAATCAGATATGTAACTGTATAACCTTGCATAATAAAATGCACACCATAAAAAAGGGGGGTGGTAGGAGAAGCGAACACTCTTACGTATTCAGAGTTAAATGGGAAGTTTTTCCCTGAATGCTCTGTGTT